AATTAAATTTTAATTAGAATTTTTTTAATAAGATAAAAATATAAATTTTAATTGACTCGAATCAAATTTTAATCTGTGTTAGCTGCTTAGGTTGAGCTTAAATAGACTTAAGTTTTAATATGTATAAAAATAAATTTTAATTTGTAAAAAAATAAATTTTAATTGACTCGAATTTTAATATAATTTTATGTAAAAAGATGTGTTTGGAATTTATATAAAGACAATTTTTTGTAATTTGGATGAATTTTTTATTTGTTAGAAATGGTGATTTAATGGCGAGAGTGTCAACGATATTTAAATATAAACTAAAAGGTGGTGTCAATGATGTTTTAGATAATATAGAAGGTGCATGTCCTTGAAGATACGATGTGGCTGAAATGTTTCCTGATTTTGACCAATCCTAGCTTAAATCATGATTGATCTTACCTTGAATAACGATCGATACTAGCTTGTCATGACATGTCTTACCACTTTTACGTGCAAGTTACACTTATTTTGGGGATAAATTATCACTTTTTTAAGGTAAGTACCACTTTTTGGGAGAAAATTACCACTTTTTGAGGGCAAATCATCACTTTTTGAGAGGTAAGTTATCAATTTTTGAGAGTAAGTTATCACTTTTGTGGGATAAATTATTACTTTTAGGGGTAAGTTATCATTTTTGTGGAAAAGTTATCATTGTTTGGGAGTAAGGTATCATTTTTTTGGGTAAGTTACTACTTTGGTGGGTAATATACCATTTTTTGGGCGTAAGGTATTACTTTTTTTGGAGTAAGATACCACTTTTTGAGGAAAGATACCATTTGTTGGGGGTAAGTTATCACTTTTGTGGGGGTAAGGTACCACTTTTAGGAGGTAAGTTACTACTTTTTTTGGGGTAAGAAGATACAATTATTTGAGGGTAAAATACCACTTTTTTTTGAGTAAGATACCACTTTTTTTGGGATAAGTTACCACTTTTTTGGGAAAATCGGTCGAACCGGTTGTGAGTTTTTGAGGTATAGATGTCAAGCATATAAACTTTTACTTTTTGGTATGGTACCAAAAAAATAAAAGGCGATACAGCAATGAAATTCTTCCGAAGAAAGCCCAAGTCAATGTCACCAGTAATGTAAATGATTCCAAAGAACCCCTATGAAATAATTTCGACGATGAGTACTCTTCAATTTCATCAATTGGTGTGGAATCCCAGTCTTTCTATGAGACAAGACTTCAAAAATATAACCAAATTATGTGTGAGACTAAGGTAATCTTGGCTATTGGTTTTGAATTAGGTAATCTACAACCATTAACTCAAAAAATTATAAAATAATAAGAAATTATATGGTAACACATTTTTATTAGTTAAAAAATGAAGATGCGAGACTAAAAAAAAAACTTTTCGATATCTTAATGGAATCTCAAAATCATACTCATGTGAAAATTGATCTACATATTCTGCTTATAGTCATGCTAATTCAAATCGAAATTATCAATTAAAATTGTGTTAATTGAAGCCATTTCGAGAAGAAGGGATATAAAAAAAAAGGGGGTCTTAAAAAAAAGATGCATATAGGACTTCATTAATCGACTTTGTATTCACTTAGATGACACATTAAGAATTCATGTAGAACTTTATTAATAATTAGATCTAAACAAATTTTTAATGGTGTCAGAGTTGAATTTCACACACGTTATATTTGATCACGTGTAAGTAAAATTGGACCGAGAAAGATGACATTGTTGTAGCATGCATGAAAATTGAGTTTTACACACTCATTTGTATACATTAGAATGATGTGCTTGATGATGAAATTGGGATGTATATATTTTATTGAGAATATATGTGATTTTTATAATTAATGATATTTTTACATTTAATTCTTGAATTTAAAATTTTCACCATATATTTTGATCCTTATTTCATTCATGCATGTGCATATAATTTTCTTCTAGATTCATTTATATTTTCTCAATATTGACTGTACTATCCTATTCAAATGAAATTATTCGTTGTTTTTTTATTTTTTTGGCAATAAACCATTCTGGAGAAAATTTGTCACAAAAATGATTTTAGGGAACAAAAGTGAATTTATTTGGGTGGTTAAGAAAAAATAAAAACAAATTGGTTGGCCGAGATCAAAGTCACATAGAGCGGGAGCGAAGACGAGGGCGAGGGGCGAGAGCGGCAAAATTTAAAAAACTCTAAAAGTGGGAGTGTCTTAAGAGTGTCATACTATATATAATTACATATATAAAAATTATTCAAAGACATGTTAAAATAAAATGTAGATACAACTATATGAAAAATTATTTAAATTTTTTTAACTATTAATTTAGATTTTAAGTCCCACATAAAAATAATAACATAAATGAAGTCAAAAAAAAATTGATTAGAAGTTTTAAGGCATTTTTCTACCGTGTTAAAATCTACACTGTACACCACTATCTCACATCGACTGGGAAGACAAAACCCAGGTTAGAAATTGCCTATGAAAAAGCGCAGCCTTTTGTGTTTACTCCTGCGTTGGGTCTCGCCAGAAGCATCCTGTGGTGCTTTGTGCAGCTGGACTCAATAATTAGTTTTTTTTTTTTTAATTGGGGTCAGCCTAAACTTTTGGCTTGACTTCTGTAGTTTATTTTGAGTAGCGAATTATTGTTTTCAATTCGCGAATTTAGAAATTTACATTTGCGGATTTAGTGTGAATCTGTTTCAGATTTGTGAATTAACGCTCAGAGCTTGAATTCATGGAGTAGATCAGACGAATCATGCGACTAAAGTCGAGATTTTTAAAGTTCACTAACCGGTCGAGAGTTCGAGTTCTATTGAAAACAAGACAAAATTCTTTCTGAATTGAATATTAGAATTTAGTCCCCCAACATTATATATATATATTAACTTCCATTCTCATTTTGAGGAGTATATAGTTTGGATATATCAATGTACATTAAACAAAAAAAATGCTAAATGAATGGACAGAAAAGTCTAAGTTAATGTCAATGGTGACCTAAGACGAAAGAGAAACACACCTTCGAAAGTCCAGAGTTTTTTAAATTTGATTTAGACACTTCATTATGGACCATTGGAAAATGATGCTAAATGAATGAAAAGAAAAGTCTAAGTCAATGTTAATGGTGACCCAAAACAAAAGAGAACCACATCTTCTAAAGTTTAGAGTTTTTGAATTTGATTTAGACATTTTATTATGGATCGTTGGAAAATGATGCTAAATGAATGGAAAGAAAAGTCTAAGTCAATGTCAATGGTGACCCAAGACGAAGGAGAATCACACCTTCCAAAGTCCAGAGCTTTTGAATTTGATTTAGACACTTCATTATGAACCATTGAAAAATGATGTTTTATGAATGAAAAGAAAAGTCTAAAATGTATGTGTGTGATTTTTTTTTTCTTGATAATCATCCTTCAATCAATCACTATGGATTTGAATTAGGTAATCTATAACCATTAACTGAAAAAATTATAAAATAATAAGAAATTATATGATAACACATTTTTATTAGTTGAAAAATGGAGATGCGAGACTAAAAAAATACTTTGCGATATCTTAATGGAACCTTAAAATCATAGTCATGTGGAATTTGATCTCCATATTTTGCTTAGAGTAATGTTATTTGGGACCTTAANATTTTGAGTAGCGAATTATTGTTTTCAATTCGCGAATTTAGAAATTTACATTTGCGGATTTAGTGTGAATCTGTTTCAGATTTGTGAATTAACGCTCAGAGCTTGAATTCATGGAGTAGATCAGACGAATCATGCGACTAAAGTCGAGATTTTTAAAGTTCACTAACCGGTCGAGAGTTCGAGTTCTATTGAAAACAAGACAAAATTCTTTCTGAATTGAATATTAGAATTTAGTCCCCCAACATTATATATATATATTAACTTCCATTCTCATTTTGAGGAGTATATAGTTTGGATATATCAATGTACATTAAACAAAAAAAATGCTAAATGAATGGACAGAAAAGTCTAAGTTAATGTCAATGGTGACCTAAGACGAAAGAGAAACACACCTTCGAAAGTCCAGAGTTTTTTAAATTTGATTTAGACACTTCATTATGGACCATTGGAAAATGATGCTAAATGAATGAAAAGAAAAGTCTAAGTCAATGTTAATGGTGACCCAAAACAAAAGAGAACCACATCTTCTAAAGTTTAGAGTTTTTGAATTTGATTTAGACATTTTATTATGGATCGTTGGAAAATGATGCTAAATGAATGGAAAGAAAAGTCTAAGTCAATGTCAATGGTGACCCAAGACGAAGGAGAATCACACCTTCCAAAGTCCAGAGCTTTTGAATTTGATTTAGACACTTCATTATGAACCATTGAAAAATGATGTTTTATGAATGAAAAGAAAAGTCTAAAATGTATGTGTGTGATTTTTTTTTTCTTGATAATCATCCTTCAATCAATCACTATGGATTTGAATTAGGTAATCTATAACCATTAACTGAAAAAATTATAAAATAATAAGAAATTATATGATAACACATTTTTATTAGTTGAAAAATGGAGATGCGAGACTAAAAAAATACTTTGCGATATCTTAATGGAACCTTAAAATCATAGTCATGTGGAATTTGATCTCCATATTTTGCTTAGAGTAATGTTATTTGGGACCTTAAAAAATGAGCTAATTAATTAAAATAATGATGTGATAAGTGATAGAGTTTTAATGAAAAAATAAAATAATTGTCACAAGAATTACCTTATGTCTATGATACTCTTTATTTTAAGAATAGATTAAATAAATCTTATAATTATAAACAAATAAATAAATAATGTTGAGAAAGTAAATGGTAAGAAAAGTTCAAAATCAAGGTCAACGGTGTCCCATGGTATAGAAAATCATACTAGACACCTCAGCCAGTTGTGAAAGAAAAGTGATGCAATGCAATGCAAGCCTTCTTTGTGGGTCCATTCCAACGACTATTAAATTGTGGGGAAACACTAACACTAATCCAATATTCCATTGTTAGTAAAAACACTTGGCCTCCGCTATGGACAGTCGTAGTAGTTGTATTCCGATTGTGGCGCTTCTTTTGATTTTGCTTAGTCCCCTCGACAATTCACAATCCTCAAACATCATTTGCGCTGAGAAAGAGAGAAGAGCCCTTCTAAACTTCAGAAATGGCCTCATTGATTCATCGGGCAGGCTCTCATCTTGGTCGTCGGCGGCACAAGAAGATTGTTGCCGATGGACAGGAATCCGCTGTGATAATATTACCGGTCGAGTTATCGAGCTCAGCCTGTCTTCCACGGATTTAAGAGGCAAGATTAATCCTTCTTTACTCGAATTAGAGTTTCTGAGTCACTTAGACTTGAGTTTTAACAACTTCACAGATTCAGATGGCGGCATTCCAAGTTTTTTGGGTTCCATGAAAAGTCTTACATATCTTGACCTCTCTGGGTGTAAATTTCATGGGATGGTTCCTCATCAACTTGGAAATCTTTCCAGGCTGACTTACCTTGATTTAGGATATAATGATGGAGTTTTTGTGGATAATCTTAGCTGGATTTCTCGCCTTCATTCTATGGAGTATCTCTCCATGAGTGCAGTCGAATTCGGCAAAGAAATCAACTGGCTTCAAGCGATGAGCACGCTCCCTTCTCTTTCAATTTTGGCCTTGCCCCGTTGTGGGCTCGAAAGCATGTACCCATCCCTTGGTAATGTCAATTTCACATCTCTCACTGTCCTTGAACTTTCTCATAATCATTTCAAGCATGAAGTACCAAATTGGCTGGGTAATCTCAGTTCAAGCCTCCTATATCTTGATCTAAGAAATAATTCCTTACAAGGTGAAATACCAATAACCATGTCAAATCTCCGCAGCTTAAGTTATCTAGATTTGGGGTTGAATCAACTTACCGGGCAAGTCACACACTGGCTGGGGCAACTTAAATCTCTACAGAGGCTTTGGCTTGGGGGCAATTCGTTTTATGGGCCTATTCCTGAATCACTGGGAAACTTATCATCCTTGGTGAACTTATATCTTTACGATAATAACTTGAGCGGCAATCTTCCCAAGAATTTGGGGCTTCTCTCAAATTTAGAGACTTTACACATTGAAAATAATTCCTTGGGAGGTGGCATTTCAGACATGCATTTTGCTAAGCACTCAAAGTTAAGGGATTTAGACCTGTCCGGGAACCACTTTTTCTTCAATGTGAGCAACAATTGGATTCCTCCTTTTCAACTCGAAAGTATAAAAGTGAGTTCCTGTGAGATGGGTCCAAAATTTCCCTCATGGCTAAGAACGCAAACATCTGTTAATTGGCTTGAGATGTCCAACTCAGGAATTTCAGATATAGTTCCAGATTGGTTTTGGAACATGGCATCGTCTATGTATATCGTTGACCTCTCTGGCAACCAGATTGATGGTGATTTATCTACCATTTCATTAAATTCTTACATCATCAATCTAAGCTCTAATCGCTTTAAGGGTTCACTACCGTGTTTGTCAGCAAACGTTGGCATGTTAAATGTTGCAAATAATGCCTTTTCTGGATACATTTCCTCTTTCCTATGCTGTGAGGCCAACAAAAAAAATAAATTGAACCTCCTATTCGCATCAAATAACCTCTTTTCGGGTGAACTTCCTTCTTGCTGGATGTACTGGCAATCTTTATACCACTTAAACTTGGGAAGCAATAACCTGTCGGGTGAAATTCCTAACTCAATTGGTTCTCTATATAACCTCAAATCGTTGCACTTGCAAGAAAATAATTTCTTTGGGTATATTCCCAACTCATTGCGTAACTGCACATCTTTGGCGCTCATTGACTTGGGTAACAATAAATTTTCAGGAGAATTACCAAGCTGGATAAGTGAAACGACATCTTTATTGGTTCTTCTCTTGAGATCTAATAAATTTGATGGAAATATCCCTGAAAATTTATGCCATCTTTTTTCTATTCGAATATTAGACCTTGCAGATAATAGCCTATCGGGTTCTATACCAAAATGTTTCAATAATTTGAGCGCAATGGCTACAACAAAGATTCCAGATGTTGATCCATTTGGGGGTTTGAATTTTGCCTCTATAAATTTTTTTCACTATGAAAATCTTTCGTTGGTCACAAAAGGGAGAGAATCTGAATACAGTAGCATTCTTAATTTGGTGAAGATCATGGATCTTTCGAAGAATAACTTATCTGGATCCATTCCCCCTGAGATATTTAATCTTTATGGGCTACGTTTCTTAAACATTTCTCAAAACCATTTGGATGGAGAGATACCAGAGAATATCGGGGACATGTCATCATTGGAATCTCTAGACCTCTCAAAAAACTCTCTTTCTGGGAAAATTCCTGAAACCATGTCAAATTTGACATCTCTTAATTACTTGAACTTATCGTATAATTACTTCTCGGGAAGTATACCTTCAAGCACCCAGCTTCAGAGCCTTGGCGAAACCAGCTTCATTGGTAATGCTGGACTTTGTGGAGCACCTCTCCCAAGAAATTGCACAAAAAAGGCAGAATCTCCAAGTTCAACACCTGTTGGTGAAGATGGAGATGAGTCGGAGGTGTTTTGGTTCTACATTGGCATGGGTATTGGATTTGCCCTTAGCTTTTGGGGCGTTGGCTGTGTTCTTTTCTTCAAAAGTACTTGGAGGCATGCTTATTTCATGTTTCTTGATAAACTGAAGGATCATATCTATGTGATTGTAATGCTGAAGGTGAACTGGTTCAACAAGAAAATCAAGAGACGCAATGATGTTTAGTCTAAAGCATCATCATCTTCTATGAGGTAATGCATCGTATTTCATTGCCTTCTAAAGAGTGTTTGTTCATGTTTGTGAAATTGTTGCTTTGTTCTTTTTGTTATGCCTATCATTTCGTTAATCTGGCCCTGCCTTATGCTAGACAAATAAATGGCTGCTTAGGCCCCAGAAATAATTTTTGTAATGTTTATTTAAGCCCAATTATACTTTTAAGGTATAAATAAAATTTTTAATTTTAGGTCTATCAAATCTAAATTTGTTTTTAGGCCCATAGAAAGCTGACGACCTCCTTTCCTCTCACAATTTTACATGGCCACTCCATCTCTCTCACACAATTAAGCCGAATCTTTTTAGATTACCAAATAAAAATTTTTAGATACAGGTAATTAAGCCCAATGCATTCTTGGCACAGTAGTGAATAGGGGATACAAAAAAAAAATTCATTTTTTATTCGCTACCATGCACGTATAACACTTTGAAATCATATAGAAATACGAAAACTCAGAATACTATGTACTAATGGCCATGTACTTTGTACTTCTTGTGGGATTCAGTCGTTGAATTGTATCATAGCTCACTGACATCATTCCCTTTGTTCTTTGCATAGAATTTGAATTAGAACTCTGAATATTATTTTCTTTACTGGTTGATGCCTCATCTGTAACAGTTTTGCAGGTTATAATAAAGGTGTGATGGAAGGGAAATATGTTTTCGAACTGTCTTGAATTTGCTTGTGTTTTTGTTGGTGATATATGCATATGTTTACAAAGATTGTTGTCTGTTTTGGAAGTAGTAATGATGTTATGGAGTGGGTTTTGGCATGTAACTCTTGTACTCTTGGGTAAGTCTTAAGTTTATGTTCGTGTTGTGATGTACTGGGAGCGATTCTAGCCTGAGTTGATTGGCTCTATGAATATTATAGATTTTCTCGTATATGTTTAAGTTGATCATTTTGGAGTTTATAATATTGAGCATTTTGTGTACTAATACACACACACACACACATGTTCTGTTTGAGTTTGTGGATTGATATGCAAAAGATCGGTATTTCACCGTAGGAAATGTACAAATTCTAAGTATAAATTGTTAATCTAGCTTTATATTGGTCATGATTTGGGGTTTCATTTCAATAATTACCCCTTATTTATGTATTTTAGTATGTGTTTATATCAATAGTTTAAATTATTTTACGAGTGAATGAGTTTAACCCCAATCATTATGACTCGTTTATTGATTGAATTTACGTGGGTTAAAAATTGATTGAATTTAAGTGGGTTAAAAATTGATTGAATTTACTGTTGCATATGGCAAGCTCCCAACTTGGTCGTTGGCACTAGAAGATTGTTGCCGATGGGACAGGAGTCAGCTGTGATGTTACCGGTTGAGTTGTCGGGCTCAAGTTCTTGGGCTTAGGAGGCAAGATTAATTCTTCTTTGTTCGAATTAGAATTTCTGAACTACTAAGAAATCTCTCAAGGTAGACTTACCTTCATTTCGGATATAATTATGGCCTTTTCGTGGATAATCTTTATTGGATTTCTTGCCTATATTCTTTGAAGTATCTCGACATGAGTTATGTCAACCTTCACAAGGAAGTCAACTGGCTTCAAGCAAAGAGTAGGCTCCCTTCTCTTTCAGAATTGCACTTGTCCGGTTGTCAACTCAAAAGCATGTACAGATCCTTTGGTTATATCAATTTGACATCTCTTCAAGTTCTTAATCTTGCCGGTAACAATTTCAAGCATGAGCTACCTAATTGGCTGGATAATCTTGAGCGGCAATCTTCCCAAGAATTTGGCGTTGCTCTCAAATTTAATGACTTTAGACCTTAAACATAATTCCTTGGCAGGCAGCATTTCAGACTTGCATTTTGCTAAGCCCTCAAAGTTAAAGCATTTAGATCTGTCTTGGAACCACTTTTTCTTCAATGTGAGCTCCGATGGGCTCCTCCCTTTACAACTCAGAAATCTGTTTGTGAGTTCCGTACCAAAATGTCTCAATTATTTGAGCGCAGTGGCTACTATTTCGGATTTTCAGGTTGTGAAATATAACACCGCCTCTGAATTGACCAGAGAAAGTGTTTGGTTGGTCACAAAAGGGAGAGATTATGAATACAAGACCATCCTTAAACTGGTGAGAAGCATAGACATTTCATGAAATAACTTTTCTGGATCCATTCCCGCTGAGATAATTGATCTATTTCATCAACGTTTTTTGAACATTTCTTATAATTGTTTGGTTGGAGAACTACCAGAGAATATAGGGGGCAATGTCATCATTGGAATCTCTGCATCTCTCAAAAAACTATCTTTTTTGGAAAAATTCCTCAAACCATGTCAAATTTGACATCTCTAAATTACTTGAACTTATCCTACAATTACTTCTCGGGAAGAATACCTTCAAGCACCCAGCTTCATGGCCTTGGCAAAGCAAGCTTCATTGGTATGTTGGACTTTGTGGAGTGCATCTCCCAATAAATTGCACAAAAAAGGAGGAATGTCAAGGTTCAACACATGTTGGGGAAGATGGAGATCAGTCTGAGGTGTTTTGGTTCTACATTGGCATGGGTATTGGATTTGCCCTAAGCTTTTGGGACGTTTGTTGTGTTCTTTTCTTCAAAAGGACTTGAAGGCTGACGTAGTGGTAGCTTATGAAGAAGTAGGACACCGCCTGCTTCTTAAAAAAAAAAAATTTCATTCAAATCCATGAACTAAAAAAATAACACACTCGAATCCAGGAGCTCAGAGAATAGGATCTCAGAAAGAAAATTCTTTGTTGAATGAAAGTTAACCTTACAATGAAAAGAAATAGCCTTTATACAGGCTATAAAACCTAATTCGACTAGAACTAAGAAATAGCCTTTACATAGGCTACAAAACCTAATTCGACTAGAACTATATCTCTAGGAAAGGAAATAACTAAAATGAGGGAAAATACTAAAAACTCCAAAAATAAATAAATTCTAATTAAAAGCATAAATCAAAAGCCCTAAACTGAAGCAGCAATCTGTCCTACATCAGTCTCCCCTGCTAGAAAAAGAACTCGACCTCGAGTTAATTAATTGAGAAGATGACACATCAAGAGGATGATATTCAAACAAATCAACAACGTTGAAGTAGGAAAGATGGTCATATCTGCAAGAAGGTCCACGACATAGGCATTGTCATTCGGTTTGACACATCCCTGAATTTCAGTGGCACTAGTCATCCTCAGTCCGATGGTCAAACGACAGTGGTGAACCACACTCTTGGGAATTTAATTCGCTGTCTTTCTGGAGAGAAACCAAAACAGTGGGATCTTGCTCTTGCACAGGCGGAATTTGCTTATAACAGTATGCTAAATCGGTCTACTGGGAAGACCCCATTCCAAATTGTTTATTGCTGTCCTCCACGCGATGTTTTAGACTTGGTTACTCTGCCAAAACTTCTTGGTTTGAGTATTGCAACAGAAAATATGGCAGATCGTATCAAGGCTATTCAAGAAGAGGTGCGGAAAAATTTGGAGGCATCTAATGCCAAATACAAGGCTTCTGCTGATAAAAAGAGATGGGCTCAAGTATTTCAAGACGGGGATCTCGTGATGGTTTATTTGCGCAAAGGACGGCTGCCAGTGGGCACGTACAACAAGCTACGAAACAAGAATTATGGTCCTTTTTAGATTCTGCAGAAAATTCTCCACAAAGTCTGCAAAAAATGACTCAAGAATTTGGTGTTTCTATCTGAAGTGATGGATTTGGGAACCCCATGCAAACGAACAATTTCTTTGAAAAACAAATTTGCCACGTGCACTGCAACCGAGGTCTTTTTGTAAGCAATAAAGTGAGTCATTTTGGAATACCTATCAACCACCACAAAGACTGAATCAAATCCACGTTGAGTTCGCGAAAGGCCTAGGACAAAGTCCATGGAAAGATCCTCCGAAGGTGCTACTGGAATGGGCAAAGGCATGTACAAACCCGTATTTTGAGATTGGCCTTTGACAGCTTGATAGATGGGGCATCTTTTAACATGCCTACCAATGTCTTGTTTCAACTGGGGCCAATAATACCTCTCCTTAGCAAGAGCTACTATTTTGTCATGACCCAAGTGTCCGCCCAAGCCTCCACTAGGGATGTCAATGAACCGAAGCGGGGGCAGGGGGTATAGTATTCATCCTCATACCCGATTAAAAAACCTTCGTCCATCCTGGGTCCACCCCGCTAACGAGTATAATTTTCATCTCCACCCCCGTGTGCGAATAAATTTATAATTTCAGTCCCCGTCCCTGCTTCCCCCGTACCCGCCCAATAGCTTTTTCTTTTTTTTTTTGCTATCATACCCATCCTCGTACCCATGGTCATAAGAAATAGTTTTTTTTTTGGCTATGATCGGAATAGAAGATGTAACAATAGAAAAAGTGTGGCAAATGATAACTCTAACTGAATGGGGAAAAGATCAATTGTATTGGTTATGCCAATAAGTGAGAAATCGATTTTGAAAGCAAACACAACTAAAATAATATTTGGCAAGAATCAGCCCACAAGGAATCATGCTGCACTATCAGAACTTAAAACTCAGATAGAGAAGTCCAGGAGAAACAGGATAGAGAACCTGAAATATTTTGTACCATAGATCTTCCACTTTACTAAGTTGCTTTATCTTTTATCAATGGGAATTTATGTTACATCAAACCCAAATATCTTCCCACAGATATGTACTAAGAACTTCTAGTCATAAAAGAAAACAAAACCCATTGATCTAATAAAATCAATAGAACTAATTTGAAGTGGAAAAATAAATAAATATCATGAATTCTAATACTCTATTAAACCAGCAAGCCAGGACTTCAAACCTATGCAACTGAAGATGAAGAATCCGTGTTTGCTTCGTCCAAGAATGAGTTTTGTTTGAGAGTCTCTGAGCCACGCGTCCAAGATGGTCTGATTGAGTACTGAAGATGAAGCATATACTCAGACCTGTGTGTGTGAGAGACAGAGAGAGGGGGGGCGGCGGCGTTGATCGAGGAAAAAGAGTAAGTTAGGTCAAGGGTTTTAATTGGGAGTTTATATATATATATATATATATATATATAACGAGTAACGAGGACGGGGCAGGGGTAAGGGTAAGTTTATCCCCGCCTTCATCCCTGCACAGGTTTATATGGGTATTCCCGTATACATCCACTGTCCAATACGTACAATCCATCCCCAATCTAAACGGGACGGGTTTGGACGAATACCTGTTTTTTCCCGATCCACTGTCATCCCTAGCCTCCACCATGTAATTCATGAATTATCTAATGTCATAGTGAACTCTTTGGGATGCACAATTGGTTGGCTCGAAACAGATAACCCTCTTGAATATGTATTCCATCAACGGAAGGTTCCGACTGACATTTTGCCCAAATATCCTGAAAATCTTCATCGTCTGCATGCAACTCCTTGAGACAGTCAAACCCAATCACTTCAGTCCGCATGGTGACTAGCAACAATGCCCTCCTACTTAGAGCATCAACTACCCGGTTTAATTGACCCGCCTTATGCTTCAAAGTGAAAGTGAAGCGTTGTATAAACGAAATCCAACGGGCATGCATTTGGTTGACACTATTCTAGCTATTGATAAATTTCAATGCTCGGTGATCGCTGAATAAGACAAATTCCCTCTGTACTAGATAGTGTTCCTAAACCTTCAAGGCACGGAAAACAGCATACAGTTTCAGCTCATAAGTAGACCACATCTGGCGAGCTTCGCTGAGCTTCTCATTATAAAAAGCAACCGATCTATCTTCTTGAGAAAGTACAGCAACAGCTTGTCAAAATTTGGCAGTGCTAAAACTGGGGCAGATGATAATTTCTCCTTGATCGGCGCAAAACTCTATTCTGCTTCCTCTCTCTCCCCAATGGAATGTCCCATTCTTCATGCATTCAGTAATTGGCACGACTATCCGACTAAAATCTTTAACGACTGGTGTGTACCATGTGAAATATATAAATTGTCAATATAAATTATTTATCGATATTTATATTTCCCCTAAATTGGAATAGATTCTAATTAATCATCTAAATACACTTGATCCATCTCCAAGAAACGAATACAAGACATTACACTACACATATGATTTAATATAAATACTGAAAGCGTAAACTTGAAAAGTGATGCAAAATATTGCATTACACTGCTTTAAAATTAGGGGTGTTAATAAAGTCGAGTTGTGCAAACTTAAGCAAGAGCCCGTTGAGCTCATTTTTTTAAACAAATCTAAAAAATTGGTTAAATTCAACTTATTTAGAATTCAAGTCGGGCGCCAAACCCTAGTCGAGCACAAATAACTCAACTATTTTACATATAAACGAGTCTAAAAAATTATTTAAGCTTAACTCATCTAAACTCGAGCCGATTCATATCCAAGCCGATCCCGAGTAACTCGTCTCGATTAACACCCTTATTTAAAACACACACACGTATTCAACTATTGGGAGAATTGCTCTGTCAAATTCGTCTTTCGACAAAGAGCATCTATTTGCGCCTCAAGTATTATCCGACAGCCCCTAAGGTTGATCGAATACCCGAATTCTAATCTCCATAGGTTACTTAACTACTCTTATTCTATTTCTTTTAAAAATAAATTAGATACATCATTGGAAAGGTAAAGAAACAATATTGATTTTAGATATCATAAATGATAGAAGAAGTCCAAGTCAAGATCAACCTTGTTTCACCGACACCGAAGGAAAACCATGCTTTCATAAGTCATGCAAGAGTGT